ACAAAATATATTTTTTGACAGCCGGTTCCACATAACGTGTGATATTCCGCCCACTTTACTGTATAGTAGCTACAAGCAGCAACCCTTTCCTGTCCTCAGTGCTTACAGCTATATATATATATTTAAATGACAGTGTTCATAGTCTGTCCTGCACAGAAGTGATTCACAAAACCAAAATAGGACCCACGGTAAGTAGGAAATACCAAAAATAAGCAAATACCGTGGTGCAGACAATTATACAATATCTCAAATAATTTTTACTTGAAAAGTTCTTACCCAAAATATTTCAGTATTAGTCTCAAAAAACTTATTTCTAATACTGATGAATGGCTTTTAATGGAGGACTATGTCCCTTTAATTAGCCATGCCTATTGTGCTCTATATAACTATGCAAGGTTAAGGAGAGACTGAATGTGCTTTTCACTTTGGAGGAAGCTTTGAGCTCACTAAGAGAGACTTTTTGCAGCGTTCATTGAAAAATGTGGATAAATATTTTGGCATTTGGCCACCTTGTGCTTGGAAATATCTGTTGAACTCTCTGAGGAAGACACTGAAACAGGAGGATATCTGGACCTCTGCTGGAGGAAGACTGAGCACTTATTAAACATAGACTTACAGGAGTCCTCCCTCATAAAACTTTTGTATAATTAAGGAGGACTGATATTAATAAAGGGGTTGTGCAATATCTTTTGTGATATATTAAGAGACGATACATAGATGTTTTGATATATGATTCTTTCTATGTATTAAGGCTTATATGATAATATATGGTGAATAAATTGTAAAAAATATAAAAATTATTTGAGATATTTTATAATTCTCTGTAGCACGGTATTTGCTGATTTTTGGGGTCATGTGGAAGACATTGTTTATTTGAAACCTGTTGCCTGCCTTTCTGCCCAATTAGGGCCCTTAAGGGGGCAAACAATTAAAACAATTAAAAATCAGTATTTAAACTTGAACATACAAGTTCAAGAAATGGATGCCACTTGCATATCTCTTCCGCAATACCACCTTTTCAGATGTTCCAACAGAAGTCACACAGCTTCCGGTTTTGTCTCCCTCAATGGCAGCCAAGTTCTCCTGGAGCTCAGGGAGATGTGTGCCTTGAATCGGCGGATGGGAGGGGGTGCGATGGTACGCATCCCCCCTGGAGCCCTTGTGTTGGGCTCCTAGCCATGGAGCGTTTGGAGGGCCCTTCCTCCGGCAACTGGCCGGCGAAGGGGGGCAGATCCCTGCCCTGACAGTCCTGCCGCTGATTTCCTGAATGGACGCCGGACACCAGGACAAGCGCTTGGTGGCTGGGCGAGTTAATCGCAGAAGGCAAGCTCTACAGTGAAATGTGAGTGACTGTATACGCAAAGACACCAGAAAGTAAGCTGAAAGCTCCCCCCTTAACAAATCGAGGGGGGGGACTCCCCCTCGAAAGGAAAAAACAGAACTGATAAACGAAGTTACAGGGGGGGGGCGGACTGCAAAACCGAAATAAATTATAATAAGGAGCTTTTGAGAACTTACCAAGCATTTCTTTCTTTTTTACAATATATTTATTAGATTTTTAAACAAAATATACACACTGACATACTCAACAACACATACATGAAATTAAATTTAAATTTTGTATCGTAACACAGTTGAGCCAAAAAAGAGAAAATACAAATAGTTCTTACTCCATTATACCTACTAACTCCTATACCACGGTATTTAAAGTATTTCACCTTTGAGTACACTCTTCTATTAATACTATTTTTAAAAAAGATTTAACAACACCAATTTTATGATTTAACAATACGAGTTTCACATTGCGTGGCTTTTGTTTTTGAAAATTATTCATATAGACTTTCTAAAATTAGTAGTATTCTCCACAAAATCTCCTAACCCTATCAAGGAGATATGAATTTTCAGTAGATCAACCATGTCAAAGTTAAACATACATCACCCTTTATATTTTAAAGCTCCTGGAACTACGTCATTCCCCAAGGCAAGCTTCTCTTAACTATTCAAGCTCTTACTTGCTTCTTAGCTGTTTAGTACTTCCACTCTTGGCTTTCCTCTAGTTATGTATTTCATAATCTAGAGGTTCCAACAACTAGTACCAAACACCACTGTGACAGAAACACAAAAATAATATATTACTAGCTTATCCTATCTAACTCATTATATTGGAAACTAAAAATATAAACATCTTATTCTGTTTTACCTTGTTCGTTGTCAAAACTCAGGGCTTTTTTTGGAGCAGGAACTCCTATGCATGTTAGGCCACACACCCCTAATGTAGCGAATCCTAATGAGTTCCTGCTGTTGGTTGTGGCCTATTATGCTAATGAGTTCCTGCTGGGTGTGGCCAACTTGGGAGCCAGACGGAACTCCGTTCCTGTGCGTTCCTTCCCAAAAATACCCCTGGTCATTTCCATTAAGTTAACATGGACTTCTTCTTTGTTTAGCGTAAGTTGGAACTCAAAGCTTTCTTCGTTTTCATCTTCTTTCTTTGTTTCCACTTGTGGGTTATGTGGTGTTTTTAATAAATTTACACAAGCTTTTTCAAAACCCTTCTGAATTTGCTCCCTTAAAACCCTTAGGAACTGTTCCACAGATAAATCTCCCACAAGCATATTCTCATCCAGTTCCTCCTCCTCCTCCTCTTGTGTTACCAGCGCCATTTTAATGGGAAAAACGCAGTTCAGTTTAATTCACTCAAGTCTATAGTAGGTTCTTGCCATAAAAAGAAAAAAACAAGAAAAACTCTCCAAAGTTGCAAGCACTCCAGAAACATACAAATGCCTCCCAATCCTCTTCTGGCTGCTAATCGTCTTATTTTTGAGCAAATCGCTTAAAGGTGATATCGCCTCAACTCTTCTCTATTTCCGAATTAGAAGATAAATGTTCGTTTTTCAGGCTTGTTCCTCTGTGTTACTGTTGTAGAAATTAAATCCAATCATAGTTAAAAAGCGGATGATCACAGCTAAGGCAGAACTTGGAATCCATGTTCTGCTCCACAAAAACGCTCCCGCTTCAGGGCAGAAACAGACCCCCCCACACACACAATTGCCAGATGCAGGAGGGGCCGTAACAGAGCCCCCTGCTACCAGCTCTCTTTCTGGGAGACCTGGCAGAGCCTACCCGGCAACCGGGGGGGGGGCTCCAAAAAGAGCGTTTGGGAATTGGGCGGCTTGGAGTGAGCCTCGTGCCGCCCGTCGCTGTGCCGTACCCGGAAGCAATCCTCGGCAGCCGGCGAGAATTTACCAAGTGTTTCTAAAGGATCTTGAGACTTTGATAACTTTTCTAAAAAGTAAACAACCCTCAAACATGGCGCCTCTGAGGAGGGAGGAGAAGGACAAGCAACTGAAACTGAGGTTCCGTGCCAGAAATGCCAGCCCAGCGAGTTCTGTCCGCCCCATTGTCATTCCTAACAATATCCCTGCAGATCATGGCAACGGACCTGTAATGTAATAAAGCATAACGCTTCCCTGGAATCGTGTGTGGAGACTTACTTGCTGTTGAACCTGACAACAGGACACTACCATAGACTTCCAAAGCATGCTGACTGTGGCTCTGCGCCCTCTGCTGGAACAAATGGCATCACTCCATAATAAGTTTGATGCACAACAAAGCCAGTTAAATAAAACTACTAAAAAGACAGAGAAAATGGAGCAAGAGCTTAAAGAAGTGGATGCCAACACCCAGAAGCTTAAAAAACAAATGCAGGGGATGGAGAAAAAGAGAGCAACTGATGAGGCTCAACTTTTACAGCTGCAAATGGAAAAGGCAAGCTATGTTTTAAGATTCCAGGGGGTTCCTGAAGCAAGAGGAGAAGACTTGAAGCAGATTATGTGTGATGCATTGGGGCCGGCTGCAGATTTCAAAGCGGATCTTCTACAAAGCGAAATAGATACGATCTATAGGTTGTATTCTGATTACATAAGAAAGAATAATCTGCCCGGTGAGATTGTGGTGAGATTCTCCAGGAGACAAGTAAGAGACCAAATATTGAAAGAAACAAGTGGAGCCACCCTGAAAATCAAAGACAAAGAAATAGAGTTTTGAAGGACATTCCATTTGAAATAAGGAAGAAGAGAAAGAAATTCAGAGACTTAGTGCTGTTTTTACAGAAAAACAATGTACCTGAAGGCATGCTCTTCAGATTTAAAGGCAAGAAAGAAAAAATTGACTCTGTTGTAAAGGCATGCGAATTTCTACATCAACATGCCGGTCCAGCAGGTGAAGAGGATAAAGATGAAGATGGCAGCAGCAAGGGAGGTGAGGAAGAAGTAGTACTGGCACCTTCTGATGAGGACTCAGTTTCTGAACTTGGGGCAGTCACCCCTAAACCAAGCTATCGATTGAGAAACAAAAAGGATAAAAATGAGTTGTGATTGTTCTCTAGATTCTGTTTTAAACTAATTTAAATCATTTCTCTATAGAGCTCTTTATATAGTCAGATTTGTTGGTGGCTCTAGTATAAGCAATAAGAATTGTGTACTCGCTTAACGTAGCAAAGTATAAGCTTATTTAACTAGAAGCTAATGTTGTAAGCATTGTGAATTACCAGCATCTCTTGGGGGTTTAGTGGTTTTCTTTACTTTCACCTGTAGCCTGTAGTTACCTTTCCTTGTTTCTTTGTAGTTTATAGAAAATGCAAATTAAAAAAAAATCCCCTATGGGGGGCCAAAAAAAAAAGCGTGAGTCACACATCTGTTTATATATATTTGGTGTAGTGTCCAAAACCACTTTGTAGATCAGCCAGTCATGTGCTTGGAATTCCCTCTATGTAGTAGGATGTGTGTGTGTGTGTGTTCATGAACCTTCTTGTTGTGTGTTCCTGTTCTAGGGCTCAAAGAAGCTGGTGAACACAGTTCTGAGTTGTGCGGATGAGGCATTGGCTGGAATAGTGGCCTGTAACCCTGGCCTTCAGCTGCTTCGGGGGCACAGAGTGGCATTGCGTTCTGACCTGGAAAATGTGGAGGGCAAAGTGGCACTTATTTCTGGAGGTGGTTCCGGACATGAGCCAGCCCATGCAGGTTCGTGGGGCCAAGTTTATGGAATATTTGTATGTTTGAGCAGCGTGGTGGATGAATGTCTGCCCCTGCCCCAGGTTGAGCATATGGCATTTCATAGACACAGGCATGGTTTGGATCTAGTAATTGGGGTTTTTTTTGCTCTTCCATCTCCCCTTCAGTCACTTCTGACCTGTGGAGAGCAGACTTCCAGTGTTTTAGATCCAGTTGTTCAGCATATAAGTACCTAATCCCAATATGAAGACAAACGTCTATTTACATAAATACAGTTTTAAAAGTACATATTGTCTGCATATGCAAGAACCAATACCAAATGTGTTTCTGCACTAGGCCCTCCTCAGTGGTATAACTCCCTTCCTCGGTGGCATAATTCAAACTGAGCACTCGATTAATTTAACAAAGACATGCATAAAACTAATCATATACTGAATGGACCTGAAATGAAGGGGAGAATAATTATATGTCTTTTAAGAAACAAAATTAATTAAATTTTTAAAAGAATACATGGCTTTTGAAGAAAAGGGAGTCCTCCTGGATCTTCATGTTGGATATTCTGGTGCCAAGAGGTTTGAATGAAGGAACTGATTGGCTGTTTGTCTGATAGACTTGGCTGCTTTTTGGATTGAGGTGTGCAAGTCAGCTGATGCAGTTTTCATTTCCCAGGTGCTGCTGATTACCTCTGCATTCTTTTTTTGTTTTTCCCCCTCCCCTCTCTCTTTTCTGTTACATCACATTTTCCGCACCCCCACATTTTCCATACATTCAGATGGGTGGACTACTATGTTGATTTTCTTCTAATTGTACCTGAGCACTCCATTGTAGCTTTGAGCATTTCAGATTGGACCTAAGAAGGTAAATATTGTACCATTTAGGGTTTTTTTAGTTGGCTACATACCTTTTTTTCTAAAACAAATTTGCAATTGCTTAGTCACATGTTTTATATGTATTTTAGATCAATGGGCAACAGAAATATGTTGCTGGCAATTCTGTAGCTAGCAGGTTCAGAATCTTTTTCAGCTTTTGGCTGCCTGATATGTCTCCCGTCTCATATGCAATGATATGTCTCCCATCTCCGGTGCAATTAGTGTCCTTGTCAAGATTTATGAGGGGAGTACAGTGGTTAGAAGTAGGAATAACAAAGGTCGGTGAAGATGAGCTCTAAGCGGCTGAGAAAATAAATCTTCTGCATCATGGTCTCTTTTGCAAATGCCCATTACTAGGAGCCAAAATACAAGCTCCTGCTAGAGCAAATTGCAAAAAGAAAAGAAGTAAAAGAACACTGAAGGTCTCCAAGCCAAGCCCAATATGAATTCTTCAATTAGGAGTTCACAGCAATATTTTCTGCAGTTTGTACAACAAATGCCTCCCAGCTGTAGGCTCTGAAGGCTAAAACCCACCAGCTGGAGAAGCAAAATAAACAGTCCAGGGAGAGTGGAAAAAACCCAGTTACAAAACCTCAGGCCAGCTATAGCTTATCAAAGTTCAGAGCTCAAAATAAAGTACTTTATCTTAAAACCAGATTAAAAGCAGGAGTGCTGTGCCAATGTATCTACTCAGGACCACAAAGGAAATATTTTACATCTTAATGAGTTGCTCATGTTGGATCACAAGAATATTTGGCACCACTTACTCCATGGGTGAACATCTCAGGGTAAGGTAGCTATCCCAGTCCCATGTATTCAAATAATTAATTTTGTTTCTTAAAAGACAAATAGATAATTACGTCTCTTTTTTTCTCTCCCGCCCTTCATTTCAGGTCCATTCTGTATGTGATTAGTTTTATATATGTCTTTGTTAAATTAATGGAATGTTCCGTTTGAGTTATACCACTGAGGAAGGCCAGGTGCCAAAACGCGTTTGGTATTGGTTCTTGCATATGGAGACAATATGTACTTTTAAACCTGTATTTACGTAAATGGACATGTATATTTATGTCAGGATTAGGTACTTATATGCTGAAACATAGGATTGCTGTTTTTAAATGATATTTTAGCACTTCTGAATGTATTAAATATATGATATATTGTACATTTGCACTACATGCATAGTTATTGTTTACTTTCTCTTTGTTCCAACCTTTTTGGTTACCTTTCTTGTGCAGCACTGTGTTTTTCTCCCCTTTTTTGGTTGTACTCAGATCCAGTTGCCCACATGGGCAAACTTCTTTGCAAGCTGGAAATGCTGCAATGAAAAGGGAGGTAAAATTGTCTATTCTTTCTTTGTTCAGTGTGTACTTGCAGAGAAGGAGGAGCGAACATTTTCTTCCCTTCTTTAATGCAGCCCCTTGATTTGCATTGGGGCTTATCCATGTGTGTCCTCTGACCCCAAGAATCAACTTTCTTCAGGTCAGAAGGGACTGATGGTGCTAGGGGAACTTGGCTTAAATCCTGAGAGCCAGTTTGGTGTAGCGGTTAGGAGTGCGGACTCTAATCTAGGAGAACCAGGTTTGATTCCCCACTCCTCCTCCACATGCAGCTGCTGATGTGACCTTGGGTCAGTTACTAGTTATTTCAGAGCTGTTCTCTCACAGGCAGTTCTTGTTAGAGCTCTCTCAGCCCCACCTACCTCACAGGATGTAAGTTGTGGGGAGGGGAAGGGAAAGGAGACTGTAAGCCACTCTGAGACTCCTTTGGGTAGTGAAGGGCGGGGTATAAATCCAATCTCTTCTAGTTTGCGGCATCCAATTCTACATTTATCAACAGCATGCAGACTGATAAGCTGAAAATCTTACCCCAGCTCTTCTAAATGCAGTGGCCTTCTAAGACTGCTAAGACTACTGCAATTCGCTCTGTGTAGGGCTACCCTTGGAAACGCTTTGGAGACTGCAGGTGGTCCAGAATGCAGCTGCTGGGTTGCTGACCGGGACATCCAATTCTGCGGCAGCCGCACTGACTGACAATTAGTCTCCGGATCCAATTCAAGGTGTTGGCGTTAACCTTGAAAGCCCTTAACGGTCTGGGACTCTCATTCCTGTGGGACCGCCTGTCCCATTACAACCTCCTGCACTCCCTTCGGCCATCCTCTAGGGGCCTCTTGCAGGCGCCTGCCCCCAGGACGGCTCGGTTAGCTGTCACCAGGGAAGGGCCTCCTCAGTTGTGGCCCCTGCCCTGTGGAATGCGCTCTCGGATGACACCCGTGCCCTGCAGGACTTGTTTAGTTTCTGCAGGGCATGCAAGGCCAAATTATTTAGGCTGGCCGTTGGAGTGTAACCACACGTTTAGGCTGCTTTTATTAGTGGTGTGGTGATAGCCACATATTTTAATAGTTTAATATTTTAATGTTAATATTTAATATTTGTTATTTGTTCTTATGTTCTTTTTACCTATTGGTTTTAATGCTGTAAGTCACCGTGAGCCCCTTTGGGTGAGCGGCGACTAAAAAAAAATCTAATAAATAAAAATTTAAATTAAAAAAATGTATAAGTGAAGTATTTCTTGCTTTGCATGGGTTGCAGTACCATTTAAATGAGGAGTTGCTTTTGGGTCTTTATTCCCCCTCCAAGCAGGCGTAGGTGACCGAAGCTCAGAGCAGCTTCTAAACGACACCCCTCTCACGGAGGCACTCTTTCTTCCTCTTTTCCTCCTAGCTCGTGAATCGACGCTTGTATTCAGGGAGTGCAGACCGGACGGTGAAATGCTGGCTGGCCGACACCGGGGAGCGGGTTTGGACGTTCAAGGCTCACAAACACAGCGTCAGCACTTTGAAGTACCATGCTGGGATATGTAAGTTCCAACAGACCCCTACCTTGGCATCCCCATTGTTCTTTCTCCTTCTGTTCCTTTCTGCTACCAGTCGGTGTAATCATCTGAGATGATGGCTGTGCACTGTTCTAGGCCAGGGATCCCTATCATAGTGCCTTCAAACACCTTTCTCCTGTCGCCTGCCAAGTGCTTTTAGAAAGAGGGAGAGGCCAGGTGGGGCTTTTGCTCAGCAAGGCTGTTGATTGGCCATTGGAGATTTGATTGGCTGTGCAGATTCTTTAAAAACGTTGCTTGGCAGCAGCTGAGACCGCGACATGAGGCTCTTTGTGGTAGGATTGAAAGTCAGCTGCAGGAGCCATTTTGTGGCCGGCTGGCTCAGTCTCCCGTGGCAGCCATTTTGTGGCTGTGCCCATCATGTTGTGTCAGAATTCCAAAGATGCCCACAGGCTCAAAATGGTTGGGGACCCCTGGGCTAGGCATTGGAAGCGTATTATACCATAGATTGGGGCCAGCTGTTGGGAGGACGTGACCCCGATATTACAGCAACGCCACTGGCTACTGATCCACTCTGGAGAATATGAATCAGGGGGAGGCCTTGCCCACTATGTCCTGTTGTTGGTCCCCCAGAGGAACTGTTTGGCCACTGTGTGAGACAGGATGATGGACTAGGTGGGACATGGTCTGATCCAGCAGGGCTCTTCTGATGTTCTTACCAGGGGAAGGCCTCGGCATCTGTGCCCTGTTGTTGGCTGTCCAGAGGAACCGATTGGCCAGTGTCTGAGACAGGATGCTGTACTAGATGGACCGTCACTGGTCTGATCCAGCAGGGCTTTTCTGATGTTCTTATCAGGGGAAGGCCTCAGCCTCTATGCCCTGCTGTTGGTCCTCCAGAGGAACTGGTTGGCCACTGTGTGAGACAGGATGCTGGACTAGGTGGACCACTAGTCTGACCCAGCAGGGCTCTTCTGATGTTCTTATCAGGGGAAGCCCCTGGCCTCTTTGCCGTGTTGTTGGTCCTCCAAAGAAACTGATTGGCCACTGTGTGAGACAGGAGGCTGGACTGGATGGACTCTCACTGGTCTGTTCCAGTAGGGCTCTTCTTATGTCCTTATCAGAGGAAGGCCTCAGCCTCTACGCCCTGTTGTTGGCCCTCCAGTAGGGTTGCCAAGTGGCACTTACCTTGCCGGCAGGGGACTCCCGTGCGGATCCCGGTGCGTGTGCGCGCCGCATGCACGTCACAGGGAAGTGACGTCATGACGCCGGGCACGCTGGGGGTGCGGCCACGACCATACAAGGGAAAACCATAGAGTTTTCCCTTGTATGGCCGTGGCCCTGCTCCCAGCATGCCCGGAGTCATAACGTCACTTCCCTGTGACGTGCACGCTGGGGCGGGGTTCCCCCCGGGGCCCGATTCCCCGGCGTTGGGGAACGGACCTCTGGGGCGGGGGGGGGGTTCCGCCCCCCGGGGGGACTTGGCAGCCCTACCCTCCAGAGAAACTGATTAGCCACTGTGTGAGACGGGATGCTGGACTAGGTGGACCACTGGTCTGATCCAGCAGGCCTCTTCTTATGTCCTTATGTACCTGGAGAAGCTGGGGATTGAACCTGGGACCCCCAAGCAGATGCTCTACCACTGAGCCACGGCCCCTCCACTGTCCAGAGTCCCAGTCGCAGATCTCCCCAAGCTGTGAGTATATTTTGGCCCTAGGAGAAGTTGTTGGGCTACAAACACACAACTGGGTCCTCTTTTCTTTCCCGCTGCATACCCTGGCCCTCGTTTGAAGAGACAGCAGGCGGTTGCTCATCCAGATAGTCGCTCTCTGTACTTCTTCTTCTTTTTTGGGGAGGGAAATAGCAGCCAACCAAGACTTTTGTGTTTAAGGAATAAACGTTTCCAGATGGCACAGACTCAGCCCAGCAGTTGGCAAATGTGGACTGCTTTTGTGCTCTCCTTAGTAGCTGGACATAAAAGCATAAAGCTCTTCCCCGAGGGCTTAGTGACGAAGGCCCGCATTCTGCCGCTCCACTCAGCTATTGGCAGCCACTTCCTCTGATGCAAGAGGTATTGGAGGAGAAACTCGTTCTGCTGGAGGGAGGTCCCCCTGGTAGCTGAGCAGAGCGGTGAGATCCAATTTTTTTTTTGCATGCTTTTTTCACATCCTGAAGTCGATACCCGCTCCGGCTGCGTTCCCACCAACACCAAACCCACGTGTCCCCTGCGTCTCGGCCATGTGGCAGTGTGCGTTCTGCAGCCATGTCGTGGATCCGTTGTTCACTGGACACACCACAATCAGTGCTCCCTCTAAGCTGTGGAGTTTTGTGAGCAAAATTTCTACTTTGGGAGCTACTGGCCTTAAAGCTGTGAGCCAGCGATTTGGCTGCTGCACAAATCAGTTTGCTCTGGAGCCATCCCTTCCTGAGCGGAGACAAAAAACATGTGAGCCGGAGGCTAAAAGAACTGTGAGCTAGCTCCCACCGACTCAGCTTAGAGGAAACACTGAATGTACCTCCCAGCTGACATGATTTGTACTTTTGACTGGTGCAGTTGCAGTTGTTGGTCCCCCAACCCTGGATGGGTGAAAGTTGAAAATGGAATAAAGATGTTTGTCCTGAGGTGGTCATACCAAAGACTGAACTGGGCTCTTCTGGGACGAAAGGCTCCTTTCTATATTGCCGTACACAGCATATATAACTTCATACACCTAGGAAGAAACACTGTTTGGTGGAGTGGTTCAGTGCGCGGACTCTAATCTGGGAGAACCGGGTTAGATTCCCCACTCCTCCACTTGCACCTGCTGATGTGACCTTGGGTCAGTCACAAGCTCTGGCACAGCTGTCCTTGACAAAGAGCAGTTTGTGTCAGAGCTCTCTCAGCCCCACCCACCTCACAGGGTGTCTGTTGTGGGGAGGGGAAGGGAAAGGAGTTTGTAAGCCGCTCTGAGACTCCAAGTGAAGGGCGGGGTATAAATCCAATCTCTTCTTCTTCTTCTTCTCTTCTGTTAGAAAAAAACTCTAAAGTTTCTCAGAAGCAAACAGCAGGAACTCAGCTGGATTAAGCACCAGTAGTAACTTAGAGACCAACTAGATTTTCAGGGTAGGTTCAGGTGGGGTAGCCGTGTTGGTCTGAAGCCACAGAAGAAAGTTGGAGTCCAGGTGCACCTTGAAGACCAATAGCTGCCGTGTGCACGCACACTTCTTTTTCTGTTGTGGTGGTTAGGAGCACAGACTCTAATCTGGGAGAATCAGGTTTGATCCCCCACTCCTCCACATGCAGCTGCTGGTGTGACTTTGGTTCAGTCACAAGTTCTCTCGGAGCTGTTCTCTCAAGAGCAGTTCTCGGGAGAGATCTCTCAGCCCACACCTCCCTCACAGGGTGTCTGTTGTGGGGAGGGGAAGGGAAAGGAGATTGTGAGCTGCTGTGAGACTCCTTCGGGTAGGTAAGAGTGGGGTATAAATACAATCTCCTCCTCCTCCTCCTCTTCTTCTTCCTTCAGATACCTTCTTCAGATTTTCTGGGGGTTTGAGGTTTTGAGAGCCAAAGCTCACTCAGGGGTACGTGGCTCCCGTCCGATGGCCCTTTCCCCCCCTTAAAAGCAGCTTTCACAGGGGGTGGCTCAGAGAGCAATCCTAAGGAAAGTTACTGCAGTCTAAGCCCATTCATTTCTGTGGGTTTAGACTGGAGTAACTTTGCGTAGGCTTCCACTGACAAAGCGACGGCTCTTGTGGATTAATCGGCTGCCGCGTCTCCAGTCCCTCCCCCCCCTCCCCCACCGTGAATATGTGTACGACGTTCCTGTTATATAAATACACGAAAAGAATAAAGCACAACTGAGACTCTTAAAACCATGGCTCAGATATTAAAACCGTCTTTGCCCAGCGACTGCTAGGCGAGTCTCTCTTGGAGGATGCAAATAAAAACCGGGTCCAAAATTCTGTGCGCTCCTATGCAGCTGTTTGTAAATGGCCCTAGAGAGATTGCAGAGGGTGACTCACTTCCCACGCCCAGACAGAAGATGGGGGGAAAATTGAAGGTTTATTGATAATGGCCCTGGGCATAGAATGCCAGCCATAAAGGTGCCACTGAGTGTCGTATTTTAAAACGTGTGCCAAACTCCCCCCCCCCTCTATAGAATATTGCTTTTCAACAGAATTGAATATTCAAGGCATCAGTTGCTTTTGCTTTGTCAGAACAGAATGTAGTGAAGGGGGAGGAAGAACGTAACCGAATATCCCTTCAAAGCAGGCGATGCCCTTGTGCATTGGTAGGCGAAGAATTTCTAACCCGTTCCATATGGAAAACCCCTTCATATAAGGCAGCGAGAAACAGGCTTGCACTGTTATTCAAACAATTAAAGTTGTGGTCGGAAAAGGAAATAAATTGTTCTGCTTGCTAAGTAGTGAATCATTGTGTTTAACATTCCCTGGTATGTTCATGCTGCATGCTCGACTGATAACGATATAGGGAGATATCTGTCCACAGGGCCTTTGTTTTTGACAAACAGTAATGAACGACATAAATCGTACAGGGTTCAGGTGGTCAGCCATGCTGGTCAGAAGCAACAGAACAAAGTCTGAGTCCAGTGGCATCTTTGAGACCAACAAAGTTTAATTCTGGGTGTAAGCGTTCGTGTGCATGCAGACTTCTTCAGATACCCAGATGAAGTGTGCGTGCACACAAAAGCTTATACCCAGATTTTTTTTTAATTTTATGTTTATATTATAATTTAAAAAGTAAATAAAATATAAAAATAAAATAATAAAAATTTGATTTTAAAATAAAATAAAATAATAAAAAAATAATAAAAACATAAACAAAAAAAATAAAAATTAATTTATTTTTAAAAAAAAGCTTATACCCCAAATTAAACTTTGTTGGTCTTAAAGGTGCCACTGGACGCCAACTTTGTTCGATAAGTTGTACTGATTTGTTTTGTTTTGGCATTTGTATTTTTGGTACACACACAGAATTTAGGAAACAGGGCTTGGAGAGCAGGCTGAGCCGTTCCCTGGTTCGGCTTCTCATATGGGGGCTTCACTGAAGAAGGTGCCTCCGTCCCCTAACCTTCCTCGCAGGATTGCTGTGCAGCTGAAGCAAAATAGGCCAGGCTGAATCCAAAGGTGCTTTTCCTTCCACGTGGCCACGGCATCTTCCACTCAAGGAAGGGCCACTGTATACAAAGCATGATCAGAGTGGATCTCAATCTGAACGTGTCCCTCGGGTTGCATGACTTCTTATAGAATCACAGAATCGCAGAGTGGGAAGGGGCCCTACAGGCGATCTAGCCCAACCCCCTGCTCAATGCAGGATCAGCCGAGAGCATCCCTGACAAGTTTGTCCAGACGCTACTCAAAGACTGCCAGGGAGGGGGGAGCTCACCCACCTCCCTAGGCAGCCGATTCCACTGTCACACAGCTCTTACTTTCTTACTCAAACAGAAACTCAAGACCAATTTCCAGACTATGAAAGCTGCTATCTGAGGATCTGCATAAATACTGGCTGTTTTCCTTCTGCACAAGGCCCTTTGAATCCAGCTCTCCATAGTCACCTAATTTTTTTTTAAAAATCAGCTTTATATTTGTCCTTATTCTGCGGAAGCCCTGACCTGCATAGCCCAGGCTAGCCCAATCCCGTCAGATCTCAGAAGCTAAGCAGGGTCGGTCGTGGTTGGTATTTGGATGGGAGACCATCAAGAGGGTCGTGACACAGAGGCAGGCAATGGCAAACCACTTCTGAACGTCTCTTGCCTCGGAAACCCTACGAGGTTGCCGTAAGCTAGCTGGGGCTTGATGGCACTTTCTGCAAACACAGACCCTTGAGGCTTCTCTGGGCCTGCTTTACTGCCCTCTCGGTGCCAGGGCAAAACGTTTAGCTTCACCCAGACTTTCAATTGACGTATACCATCTTCCTTCACTGCATTTTGGTCTCCTTTGTAGCCTGAGCATCATTTCACGGATACCGCTTTAGTCTGCCTAATACTGTTGTTACGGGGGCGACAGTAGGGTTAGCCCTGACCCGAATCACCCAGGTTAGCCTGATCTTGGAAGCGAATCAAGGTCGTCCTGGTTAGAATTTGGATGGGAGACCACCAAGGAAGTCCACGGTTGCAACGCAGAGGCAGGCATTGGCAAAACCACCTCTGTTCGTCTCTTGACTTAAAAACCCTAAGGGTTTTCCATAAATCTGATCCAACTTGACAGCTCTTTCCACCACTATTCTGAGAGAAGAGGGTTTATTAAAGTTCTGCACAAATGAAAACGTTTGCAAATGGGTGGCAGGCCAAATTACACAGCTCCGAGCCCTCCCCACCCCACCCCAGCCTCATTTTAAGAACATCAGAAGAGCCCTGCTGGATCAGACCAGTGGTCCACCTAGTCCAGCATCCTGTCTCACACAGTGGCCCACCAGTTCCTCTGGACAGCCAACAACAGGGCATAGAGGCTGAGGCCTTCACCCGATAAGAACATCAGAAGAGCCCTGCTGGATCAGACCAGTGGTCCACCTAGTCCAGCATCCTGTCTCACACAGTGGCCCACCAGTTCCTCTGGACAGCCAACAACAGGGCATAGAGTCCGAGGCCTTCCCCTGAGAAGAACATCAGAAGGGCCCTGCTGGATCAGACCAGTGGTCCACCTAGTCCAGCATCCTGTCTCACACAGTGGCCCACCAGTTCCTCTGGAGGGCCAACAACAGGGCAGAGAGGCCGAGGCCTTCCCCTGATAAGAACATCAGAAGAGCCCTCCTGGATCAGACCAGTGGTCCACCTAGTCCAGCATCCTGTCTCACACAGTGGCCCACCAGTTCCTCTGGAGGGCCAACAACAGGGCAGAGAGGCCGAGGCCTTCCCCTGATAAGAACATCAGAAGAGCCCTGCTGGATCAGACCAGTGGTCCACCTAGTCCAGCATCCTGTCTCACACAGTGGCCCACCAGTTCCTCTGGACAGCCAACAACAGGGCATAGAGTCCGAGGCCTTCCCCTGAGAAGAACATCAGAAGAGCCCTGCTGGATCAGACCAGTGGTCCACCTAGTCCAGCATCCTGTCTCACACAGTGGCCCACCAGTTCCTCTGGAGGGCCAACAACAGGGCAGAGAGGCCGAGGCCTTCCCCTGATAAGAACATCAGAAGAGCCCTCCTGGATCAGACCAGTGGTCCACCTAGTCCAGCATCCTGTCTCACACAGTGGCCCACCAGTTCCTCTGGAGGGCCAACAACAGGGCAGAGAGGCCGAGGCCTTCCCCTGATAAGAACATCAGAAGAGCCCTCCTGGATCAGACCAGTGGTCCACCTAGTCCAGCATCCTGTCCCACATAGTGGCCAACCAGTACCTCTGGAGGGCCAGCAATAGAGCGTGGAAGCTGGGTCCTTCCCCTGATGTTGCCTCCTGGTTCTGGGATTCAGAGGACTAGTGCCTCTGAATGTGGAGGTTCCCCTCAGCCACCACGGCTAGTAGCCATTGACAAGACTTACCCTCTGTGAATCCATCTAATCCCCTTTTAAAGCTGTTTATTCCTGTGGCCATCACTACATCCTCTGGCAGCGAATTCTGGCAGCAGATTTAAAAAAAACATGAAGCTGCCATATACAGAATAAGACCAGTAGTCCATCTAGGTCAACATTGTCTACTCTGACTGGGGGCAGCTCTCCAGGCTATCAGAAAGAGGTCTTTTACATCACCCACTGCCCAGTCCTTTTGAACTGGAGGTGCCAGGGATTGAACCTGGGACCTTATGCATGCAAAGCAGAGGCTCTGTGAATGAGCCACAGACTCTATGACTGAAACTCCCTTTGTATTTCTGTTTCTTATACAGGGGCAAACAACCAACTCAGATCCCTGCCATTCTTTCCAACAATTGATCCAAAAAAGTTCTCCCTAACCCTCCTGTTGCAGTAGACGGGGAAGGAAATAGGCCCAGAGTATATCATTCTAAAAAGCTCCTCTCCCTTGGTTTTTCATAACAGTGTTTACAGGAAGCGGAGATGCCTGCGTGCGCGCTTTTAATACGAAAACCGGTATTCTGCAGAGAGTGTTCCGAGGGCACAAGCTGGTTATCAACTGCATCCAGGTGAGTCGCTGGCTTTTGGAGCTTTGGAACCTGCAGACGTGGGCTTTTGTCACAGGTGGAATCATTTGGGTGGCTGGCAAAAAAACCCCGTGGTGGTGTAAGGGGGAAAAGAACTGTTGGTGTCAGGGGGAAAATGAAGACACCCCCCCCCCTTTGTGTGGACTTTGCAATAGTACACAATAGGGAATTGTCCCTATGTGGAAGCAGCCAATGCTGTGCAATCGCTGGGCTTTTGTAATTTTTGATGCAGCAGAGGTAGGAGGCTCCTTGCTGGCATTCAAGGAAATGAAGAGCCTGTCTTTGCAAACAGTGGTACTGCTATTGTGGAGCTGCAAAAGAGAGCAGTGTAGATATACATCTCAGCCCGCTTCTGCTGAGTGAGCAAAGGGCTCTTTAACCCAGGCAAAGGGCTCTTTAATCCTCTCTTCCCACTAAGATTCTTTGGGGGATTCAAGGAAACGAAAAGCCTGTCTTTGCACACAGTGGTACCGTCACTGTGGAGCTGCAAAAGAGAGCAGTATAGATATACGTCTCAGCCTGCTACTGCTGAGTGAGCAAAGGGCTCTTTAACCCAGGCAAAGGGCTCTTTAATCCTCTCTTCCCTTTAAGATTCTTTGGGGGATTCAAGGAAACAAAAAGCCTGTCTTTTCCCACAGTGGTACCATCACTGTGGAGCTGCAAAAGAGAGCAGTATAGATATACAGCTCAGCCCGCTTCTGCTGAGTGAGCAAAGGGCTCTTTAATCCTCTCTTCCCACTAAGATGCTTTGGGGGATTCAAGGAAACGAAAAGCCTGTCTTTGCACACAGTGGTACCGTCACTGTGGAGCTGCAAAAGAGAGCAGTATAGATATACATTGCAGCCCACTTCTGCTGAGTGAGCAAAGGGCTCTTTAACCCAGGCAAAGGGCTCTTTAATCCTCTCTTCCCACTAAGATTCTTTGGGGGATTCAAGGAAACAAAAAGCCTGTCTTTGCACACAGTGGTACCGTCACTGTGGAGCTGCCAAAAGAGAGCAGTATAGATATACGTCTCAGCCTGCTACTGCTGAGTGAGCAAAGGGCTCTTTAACCCAGGCAAAGGGCTCTTTAATCCTCTCTTCCCACTAAGATTCTTTGGGGGATTCAAGGAAATGAAAAGCCTGTCTTTGCACACAGTGGTACCGTTACTGAGGAGCTGCAAAAGAGCAGTATAGGAATATGTCTCAGCTACCTTCTGTTGACTGAGCAAAGGGCTCTTTATCCCAGGCAAAGGGTTCTTCCCACTAAGAAGATTCTTTGGGGGAGCCCCCCATTCTTGTGCCCTTCTGCTGCTGACTGCAAGGTGCAGAGAAAGGCCTCTTTAATTGCCCACCCCCCTCAGAGTGACAGTTCCAGAGGCTGTGGCAGGGCCTGCTGAGCTTCCTTTGTGACCTGAAACCTGCCATGGGAGCAGCAAACACAAGCCTCTGTTGTTTGCACCACGGAGGTGAGTGGGTCAGGAGCCCTTTGCATGTGTGGGTTGGTGAGCAGAGGCTGTCATGCTTATCCTTAACCCCTGCTTAGCTTAAAATGATGGGAGGGAAGGTGGCATGGTATAGCCCCATCTTGTCACATTTTGGAAACAAAGCAGGGTTGGTACTTGGAAGGGAGACCACCAAAGAAGGCTCTGCAGAGGAAGGCCATGGGAAACCGCCCCTGCTTCTCATTTGCCTTGAAAGCCCCTTGCTGGGGTTGCCATGATTCTTGGATGGGAGACCACCAAGGAAGACTTTGCAGAGGAAGGCAATGGCAAAACCTCCTCTGCTTCTCACTTGCCTTGAAAGCCCCTTGCTGGGATCACCATAAGTCCTGGATAGGAGACCACCAAGGAAGGCTCTGCAGAGGAAGGCCATAGCAAACTGCCTCTGCTTCTCATTTGCCTTGGAAGCCCCTTGCTGGGATTGCCATAAGTCAGTTACGACTTGACAGCACTGATGAACGAACATAACTTAAAATGTGGCTTCTCTTACCGATTACGTGCTGACCAAAGCTGCAGGTTCCACTATACATAAAGTTATGTTTTGCCTCTTCTGACTCTTTAGCTTCCAAGCAGAGTTCGCGAGAACACAGGTTTGGTTCCTCCTCTATTAGTGTCCCTCTGTCTGTTTTGTACTTTGGGAGAATAAAAGCAACGTGTCACGCTTGCACTCCCTGCTGCCTTCAGCTCCTCATGAACTCCTCTTGCCCCCTGGCAACGCTGTGGGTGTCTCATCAGCCAACTGTGCCACCGCCGCAGAGACTTTTAAGCTCTGTTAACACTGGGGACGAGAGTGAAGCTGTCCTTCCTTGGGTTCAGGTGCATTTGTGTTCCATACACTCTGTGATGACCAGCGGAAAGGGGCCAAGCCTGCCTTTAATTGAGGGGGAGGCGCAGCAAAGAGAAAGAGAACAGGGGAAGAAAAACAGCCTTCCTGAAGCAATGACCACATCTGCTTGTTGAAGGACACAGATTTCTCCTCTGTTAGGTCTGCAGAGAGGAACTGTTCCCAGATCCGGTTAGGAGCTCCCTCCTTGTATCTTGCCTACAGCGAGGGTTGACAGGTCCCTTGGAGCAGCTGGCATGGGATGGGAGCAATGTTCCCTCTAAGCTGTGGAGTCCTGTGAGCAAAAATTCTACTTTGGGAGCTACTGGCATTAAAGTTGTGAGCGAGCGATTTGGGTACTGCATAAATTAGTTTGCTCTGGAGCCAGCCTTCCTGAGCTAAGACAAAAATGTGTGCGCTGGAGGCTAAAAAAACTGTGAGCTAGCTCACACTAACTCAGCTTAGAGGGAACACTGGATGGGAGGTACACTTACTTGGAGTGAGGAAGAACGCCGGAAATTAATCTGACGTGCCTGGGTGACCCGGAAGTGATGTAGGCATGTTGGAGGCGACACTCTGGTTTTTGGGCCAACCTCTATGGTAGAATTAGCTTCTACCATAGAGTTTTGCCCAAAAACTAGAGCAGCGCCCCTGACATCCCGACGTCACTTCCAGATCACGTAGGAACATTGTGTTAATTTCTGGCCATTCC